GAAAATGGCTACCAAATGCTATTATTGTGTGAAAATTCTCAATTTTATTTTTTACATTTTTAACATTATAATGCTATAACTTATTGAAAAGTGTATTGATCAATATAATTTTTTTATGGGAAATACTATTTTCTAATAATCTCTTTTTTATTCGACATACTTTGTCTTAATCAGGATATTAATAAGGAACTAGCAGTTTATGAAGCTTTTGGAATAATCCACCAATTTTTTAAAATTAAACACTATCTAAAGATTTGCATCGAAGTGTTTTTTTTTGATAGTGATTTTAATCACTGTCAGATATCATTATACTTGATCCAACTATGCCACGTCACCACTGTGCCGCGACCCCCCTGTGCTGGGTTTTTTTTTTTTTTATGCTCTAAAAAGTTATGTGTGTACAATAGTGAAATAAATTTCCTTAAAATTAAAATCTTTAGCTTCAATGGGTTTTTAAACAAGCTATGTGTACATAAGAAAATGATAAAAAAGTTATCATTTGGTCACTAAACGCCCCTATCAATCACTAAATTAGTTCACATTGGTAGAATTTTAGTGTGGTAGACTTAAATATTATTCTATTTTTTTTTAATTTTCACTCACTATATTTTAAGAAGAGTTGATGTTTATTCATAATGTTCTATTATAGAAGCACAAAAAATAGTGTTACAATTACAAGAATTAATTTTACAATTTTAGTAATTTAATATACCATTTGTTTTAAGAAAGAAATAATTATTTTTAAATTGTATCAGTCGTTATTTTTATAAGAATTTAATTAATTTTATTATATGAAATAGTCTAATTTTTATTAATTAAACACGCATTATATCTTAAATAAATTATATTAATTTGATAAATATCTGTGATAAAACAAAAAAATTAATGAAAATTTAAATATAAACTAAATGTAGGAGTTGATTTCAAAGAAAGCAGTCTGTCGATGTATTTTGAAAGTTGTTCAGCTAAAAGAATCATTCTGAGAGCATTTGTAAAGATTCATAATCAAAAAACATTAATCGGAGAGACAAAATCAATGTTAGAATGGTCAGGATTTAATACTATATGTTTCAAAACTTGTTTTATTAAAGTTCCTATATGGTTAAACAATAAAGTAACGGGTCATATCTCTCTTTCATACGAGTTTTCTAAAAGTCTTACTTTTCAAAATTCAAATGAAAATAATAATTTTGTTGTAAAATCTATAAATTTAAAAAATAAACATCCAAAATTATCAATAAATGATTCTATGACGTCATATCTAAAAAAAAACAAATCAAATAATCAAACCGAAAACTTAAAATATAAACCACTACTGGCAGATCGCAGTGCATCCAAGTTTTGTGTAGAATCTAACAATACAAATGTGCAGACCGATGTAGAGATATTCAAGAATAATAAAGTAAAAACATCAGAAATGGGTATTCAAGTTGAAATTGATGATTGTTGTGATATATTAAATAAAACAATCGATTATGATGTTCAAAATATATTTCGCTGTACACACGAAATAACATTGTCCATTGAAAAAAAATATGACTCTTTTTTCAATTATGTGAATTATCAATTTCCAGAAAGTATTACTGATAACATGGGAAAAAGTATGAGGTTTACTATTACTACTATTTTTAAGTAAAGCATATCAGAATTTTAATTAAATAATTAATTTACAGTAATCTTATGCAATCGAACATACAGAACATTTGGAAACACAAATGTTCTTCATTTAATAACCCTACCTTCAACATTATCACTAAAAAAATATTTCTACAAAAATTGCAATAAAACATCTATTAAAATTAAACTCTTTCAAAATAACGACATCATAATCGGAAAAGTAAAATATTTTTAACTTTAAATTTTAAAGATAAAAAAATTAAAGAAGTCTAATTAACTTTTTTAGGTTATGATATTAACGGCTCATATAGTCGAAATGTCAAATGAATATGAAAATAAGTATGTAACAAAAGATTTTTTTTTGCATCCAAAAATATTTGAATGTCGTGAACAATACAATAATGATGTGCATATAACTTTACACTATAAAAGAGTTTACCATACTCTTCCAAACCTTGAAAATAATATTTATAACTCTAATTCTACAATTTTACCTAAAAATAATTCAAATATTGTTTATAATAATACAATATTAACCTCGAAAGATTTTAAATCATTACAGGAATTTTCAAAGTTTTATAAAGAAAATAGAAATTTATCTGATAATTATACTCAAACCAATCTTTTAATAAATAGTCAACATACTCAAACCGAAAAATGTATCGCGAAACATGAATCAACAAATGAATATCCTTATACTACTGTAGAAAAATTAACCAATTCAATAAATAGTGTAATAGAAATCGATTACCATAACAGTGATTCTATAAAATTAATTCAAGAAAACTCTAAACATTATACATTTCAAGAAGATGTTTTAAAATTTAAAGTCATTATTTCTAATGCATTCAATTTACCAAAGATTAAATTAAACGGCGATAATGAAGAAAAACTACCCACAACTTATGTAACTATGAAAACTATAAGTGGTAGAGTTTTATCAACATCACACGTTGTGGAAGATAAAAATCCAAAATGGAATTGTACTTGGATATTTTACCATTCAAAAGAATCGTTAAAGAAAGTACGACGTTATTTTTTTTTTCTAATCCTAAAGGAATGGCAATAATAACTAATTACAGGGGAACTGGTATACCAGTTAATTTTAAAGAAATGACCTATCTGACATAAAACTGACGTTGACATGATGCGTATTATAACACTAACTTATCATCAAATAGAACATTTCACATTTCTCCTATTGAACTTCATATCTCTCAATTGTAAAGAAATAATATTAGTATTTATTTTAGGAAAATTGGTTGATATTACAACTATGGTGCACAAAGTTATCTCAAGAGTGTTATGACCAGGTTGTTAAAAATGATAAACAAATAGGATTAGTGTATTTGGATTTAAGTGCATTTATTAACTCTAATTCAAATAATACGAAAACAAATATTGAAGAATTATACGACATATATGATATAAATAGTAATAAAAATACTATTGGCAAAATGAAAGTAAAAAAAAAAGACGATATCACCTAAAGATATGCAAACTTAAATTTAAAATTTAATTTTAGGTATTAATAAATGCAATTGGTGATAATAATACTAAAGATAATTATCATTACACAACAAATTATTGTTTGGAAAATAAAGGTTTATCAGTTTATCCATTAGATATGTAAGTGAAATAATTTGTATTATTAAACTAATGAAAAAAAAATTATAATGATACTAACACATTTAATGTACTTAACGTGTGCGATGACATCTTAACCTTTTATAAGGCGCGCCAATATGTGTTATTTAAATAGGAATGTATTGTACGTCATAATGTATTTTAGCTTCGATGCGAAGCTGAGAAGGTATTGGTCTTACTAAGATGTTTTTTTTTTTTGTGTCTGTTACCACTTTTTCTCAGCTCTCACCGAACCGATTTCTTTCAATGATACGTCAAAAGATCACAAATTGTATCTAGTCGAAGACATTACCCTCAAAAATTGAAAAAAATTCTTCGTTCCCCGTGAATGGGGGAAACCTCCAAAAAAATTACGAATTTAAAAATCGCTAATTTTCGAAATTTTCGAAATTTTTTTTACTTAAAAGTGCCATAACTTTTTTAAAAATAAACATATCAATATAATTTTTTTTTAAATAGATGCATAATATTATTACCTTTCATTTGGTAAATTTTTATATTATAACTTTTTGAAAAATGTATGGATCAGTACAATTTTTTCATGAGGAATAGTATTTATATACATCTTTCATTTGACATACTGTTTTTTTAAATCGGACCATTTCCCTATATACGAGGGGGGTTCAAATCTAAAAAATGCATGTAGAAAGTAGAACTTTTTCAACTTAAATTTTGAAAGTGTTCCGGAAAGTCTGACACTTTTATATATATCTTAAATTAAAGCTAATGTAATTTACTTTATTATGCGAAAAAAAAATTTCGGACTTTATTTTATCTTCATGGTGAAAACAGACATCAAAGTTTATAAAAAAAATAAGATTTTTGTAAAAAATTTTTTTTTTAAATTTTTAACTTTTTATATGCTATAACTTTTTGAAAGATGTATGGATCAATATAATTTTTTTTGTATAGATGCATGATGTCTTTACCTATCATTTGGTATATATTTTTTTTATATCTGACCCTTTACCTGCCCACAGAGGGGGATTTAAAATGACAACTTTTTCACAAAAAATTAACTTTTTCAACTTAA